GTGGCTCCTCGTGCTCCTCGCATATCACATTTATTCTTCGCAGATGATTCCTATCTGTTCTTGCGAGGGTCTTTGCAGGAGTGTGAGAATCTCATTGAGGTACTGAATGATTATGAAGAACTTAGTGGCCAACGTGTAAATTTGGAAAAATCGGCAGTTTGCTTTAGCAAGAATGTTTCTCTGCCGGACCAGGAGTTTTTGGCCGCAATTCTTGGGGTTGGAGCAGTTGGGGTTCATGACAAATACCTAGGGCTTCCTACTCTGGTGGCCAGATCCAAAATGGCCACTTTTCGCTATCTTGAGGAGAAGCTCATTGAGCGGCTTCAGGGGTGGAAGCAGAAAACGCTCTCATGGGCGGCTAAGGAAACCTTGATTAAGTCCATAGCTCTGGCTTTGCCCTTGCATGTTATGTCTTGTTTCCGACTCCCCCTATCCCTGTGTCGGCTCCTGGATAGACACGTGGCCCGTTTTTGGTGGGGTGCGACGGAGGATCACTTCAAGATTAGTTGGGTGTCCTGGCGGAATATGTGTAGGAGCAAGCATGAGGGGGGCATGGGGTTTCGCCAGTTTGAACATTTTAACCAAGCTTTGTTAGCAAAAATTGGCTGGCGGATCCTGACTGAACCACAGAGCCTTCTTGCCCAGGTTTATAAAGGGAAATATTTTCCACGAGGCTCTTTCCTCAAGGCTACGGCGCGATCTCGCCCCTCTTGGGGATGGCAGAGTATCTTGTATGGGCGCCAGCTGCTAGAGAAGGGGGTTAGATGGCAGATTGGGGATGGTCGATCGGCTTCTCTGCTCCATTCCAATTGGATCCCGGAGTACCAGTTGGACACCCCTTGCTATAATCCGGTAATCCTCCCGGAGGGAGGGGATCCCTTGGTGGCTGAAGTCATATGCCAAGGGGAAGGGAGGTGGTCGGAAAGAAAGCTGAGTCAATGGTTTGATCCTCCTACTTGCAAAGCCATCCAGACTATTCCTCTTCCGCGCCGGAGTATTGCGGATAAGCTTATTTGGCATAACACAGCCGATGGGGTGTTTACGGTGAAGTCGGCTTATCATCTGGCTGTGGAGTTAGATAGGCGGAGGGGGGGATGGAGATCTGAGGTTAGTTGGATGGACAAACCTAGTTGGATTAGGGTCTGGGAAGCTAAGATTCCACCGAAGTTGAAGGTCTTTGTCTGGCAAATTCTTAACCGGGTTCTGCCTACAACAGAGGCATTGATTGGGCGAAAGGTTCCGGTGTTGCCCCGGTGTCCAGTCTGCTGGGAAAGCTCTGAGACAATGGAACATCTGTTTCTTTATTGTCCGGTCGCGAGGGCTATCTGGGACTATTCTGGGCTGGATTACCTGGGGGAGGGATTGCCCCGTCATACGTTCCCTCTATTCCTCAAGCGTCTGTTGGCCTTGATTCACCAGCCGTCGTTGGTTATGAAGGTAGTTGCGGTGCTTTGGCGGATCTGGCGGTCACGAAACTGGGTTGTCTTTGAAGGCAAACAGTTTGGGATTCCCGCGCTAATGAGACAGCTCCATCAACAGGTTGAGGAATGGATGGCTCTGCCCCGGGAGCAGACGAATGTGGTGGCAGGGCCGAGGGTTCCGGTGATGTCAGGAGAGGAGTCCGGTATGGTTTGCAGGTGGGATGGGGCTACCAGGAGGGGGTCGCACTCTGCTGGTGGGATGGTTCTTCTCCTTCAGGGGAAGGTCCTTCTGGCACAGGGGGTGCAGTTTCCTAGGCTGGATGAGCCTGCTCTGGCAGAGTTGCTGGTGTTGCGCGAGGCTTTGACTTGGTGTTTGGGGTATGGTTTCACGGAGGTTCGGTTTGAGGGGGATGCCAAGGTGCTTATTGACAAACTCAATCAGGGGAATATGATGGACAGCCGCCTGGGGGCGATCATGGAGGAAATTGGGCAATATTTGGGTGATCACCCGGGGTTTAGTGTGCGATTTGTAGGTCGGGAAAACAATAGGGTAGCTCATTCGGTAGCTAGAAAAGCCCTTTCTTTGTATCCGACTATGAGTCGTTTGTTTGATTTCAGGGCCTGGCTGGTTTCCAGGATGTAACTATTTTTTATCAATATATGATATCTTTTGACAAAAAAAAAAAAAAAAAAAAAAAGGATCACCATTTTTGTATTAAATGTTAAGTGCAATGTGACGACGAGTTAGCTAGAAAAAATTATGGCGAAAGATTCCTCTGAAGCTTCCCCTTAACTTTAATTCAAAACTTTTCCTCTGCCCTCTCTATTCCCCAACTCTCCAGTTCGCTTTTCCAGGGTTGCCGCCGGCACTTTTTGGTGACCGGCGGTAGCCCATTCACCCCTCCTTTTCCATGGTTCCTTTCAAGCTCTCTTGCCTTGTTTTAGGCAGTTTTCCATCGGAGTTTCCAGCTTTGTCTGCTTTCCCTGCCTTAGTGGCTTTTCATTGTTCCCTGTTCTAGGGTTCTTGTTTCTGGGTTTGCTCTCCTTGGGGCTGGATTTTGCATCATTGGCGTCTCTACCAGACTTTGTGTGGTGGTTGTCCCTCTTGATGGTGGATTTATCTTTCTTTTGGTGAATCCATTCACCGTTTTCCCCCTTTGGCTTCTGCTGGTGGATTAGATCTGCCTCTTTGTCGTCGTCGTTGGGTAGATGACGGAGTCTGATCCGGTAGGCTGTGGTGACGGTTCTTGGATTTTGGGGTGTGGGTTCTCCTGCTCGCCTTCACCAAGATTTGGTTCCTTGGCTCCCTCTGCTTCTTCAGCTCGGAGCAATCTGATTCTCATTCCTGACCACCGCCATGTAATCCCACATCTGAGATTCACTGTGTTGAGCGTCTTCGAGCGACTCCCAGGAGGCGGCTTATGGCTTTGCTGTGTTCAATAGCCATGGTTTCGATCGGATCGGACGAGCTGATTGTGCTTGGTGCTACTTTGTTTGGTTTGGTTGCAAGAGAGATTTGTGTGTTTGCTGGTTGTGGATCAAGTGTTTCATACCCAATGTAGGGGTTTGTTCATTTGGTGTTCGGTGCTTTCCTTTTTCTATCTTTGAAACACTGTTTGTTTCAACTCTTGCTTGGAGATGTTTACTCCTGCTCTAGTTCTGGTTACCTCTTTGATTTCTCTTGTAATCGATCTTACAAAGTGCAATGCAAGTGATCCCTTTGTCAAAAAAAAAAAAAAAGTAGCTGAGTGCATGCTGACAGACAAAGTCCCTCAAGCTAAGGGACACCAGATCCAAGCTACTGGATTCTCCCCCTCATGAGCTATATTAATAAATGTGAATATTTATCAAATATATTTATAATGTCATTGTTCTGTATCCTATATGTCAGTAGTAATAATGTAATATATATAGTTAATTCAGATGGTAGTTCTTGTACTTCAATTCAATCGTTTTTTTTAAATTGTCAAAAAAAAAAAAAATCAATCGTTTTCATATATGTTCACGAAAAGGGGGGAAATTTACTTTCCAACCATCTCACACTTTTTTAGTTCTAATTATTCGTAGATAGCTTTTTTTTTCCTCCATAAATGAAGCAATAACAACTGTCGATGAAACTATAATAGCGTTCCAAGTAGGGGTGTCTGTTCGGTTCGGGTCGGGTAACCGAACCCGAAACCCACTAACCCGAAAAACCCAAACCTGCCGCTAATAGTAACCCGAAACCGAACCCGAATTGGTGTCCTGTGGGTTGCGGGTACCCAAACCCGAAAACTGCACTAGCGGTTTCGGTTCGGTTTGCTTGAACCCAAAAACCGAACCTCCTCCTTGAGCACTCCGCCCAACACCTGTTGTCTCATTCTTAATTCTAGAATTTCAATTTCTCTTCCATTCCTTCTTCTCCTCGCCTCCACTCCCATCAACACCTGTTATTACTCTTCTGTTCCTTCTCATCCTCACCCCCACTACTGTTCCAACTTCCAACCCCTACCGCCACCTCTTGCTTTATTGTAGCTTTTGCATCTCTGCCACCAGCCTACAACCAAGAGAATTGGTCGAATCAACGAAGCTAGGATAAGAATCGACGAATCCAAGGGAGGAATCGAATCTGGGAAACCATAAACCCAGATCGGAGAAAGCTTTCGATGCGGCGCCCGATGTACCCAGATGCGCCGCCGACTTGGAAAGCTTTGGTCTCAAACGGAACCATATGCGTCCCCCGACTTTACCCAGATGCACCACCCGACGTTACCCAGATGCGGCGCCCGACGTTACCCAGAATCCCAGATGCGTCGCCCGAATCGTGGAGGGAAACCACCACTATACTCACCTCAGTCCTCTGTCGAAGCCTTGAAATCGAAAGGTTTGGGAGTTTCAGATGAGATGGGAAAGCCTCGAAGATCGAAGTTGAACTGCAAATCCCAAAAGGGCATAACGCTAGCTGAAGATTGGTATCGGGGTTTTTCGGGTTCTTATCGGGTTTCGGGTTACACCGAAACCGAAACCGACGCCACACACATCTGGGTTGAAACCGAAAACCCGAACCTGACAACACTGTTATCGGTTCGGTTTCGGTTGAACCCGAAAACCCGAAACCGTACCGACACCCCTAGTTCCAACTCGGGATTGGTCATTATATGTTGATGTTACATAGAAACTCAGGGGCGGACCCAGGAGGTTTTAAGGGTGTCCTTCGGGAAAATGATTATCCAACCCCCGGTGGTAATTTACATATAGTGCCAACTGTAGAAACTATTCCTTGTACGCTCTCCATGTTGGATTGACACAATAGCCCAACTCGTAAACATGTTGTTTAACAATTGGAACCATACAAGAAATGGGGGAAAAAAAGGGATCCGACGGGTGACAATGATACTAACGTAACACGCGATGATAAATTTTTCATAGGTCAACTAGAAATAAAGATCAACAAAGAAAGAGGAAGAAAGATGCCCTCACATCAAGTGGCAAAGGAGGAATGCAAAAAGAGGGGAAAAAAGCACATTTGATTTTCAAAAAAAAAACCCATAAAACCTGAAAAAATAACCAAAATTTCATGGAAATAACTAAAAGCTATTGATGGCATAAAAAAGTGATGCAAACCAAAAGTATATGAACAAATAAACATATTCAACCTACAATATAATCTCGAAAGAGATACTCAAATTTCTCATCATTTCGCCAATCGCCATCCCTTCATTCCAAAATATATGAAGATAATATACATTTGGTCTCAAAGGCTGAGAAACCTTCATACACTTACAAGATCTACAAACTTCTCATACATATTCATACATACTTAGTTGACATTCATAAAACTCTTCCTCACCCCCTTTCCCCCCTTCAATCTCTTCACAAAACCCTCTAAGAAAAACTCTAGGAGAAGGCAAAATACAGATAGAAAAGAGGCATCACATGATCGGTTTAACATCGAAAACAAGGGATTCAGATCTTGTTCTTTCTTATACCCTCCATAACTTTTTTTTTGAAATTTTTTTCTTTTCGCTCTTCGAGCTCACAGTCTCATTCTCACTCTCACGACTCAACAGATTCGATCCTCGAAACAAGAACGATCGTTCGATCGAGTAAAAGTATTATATTATAAACTCGACCGCAATATGTCCAACAGAGGACGGAGAGAACGATATGATGACTTCCCGAGAGGTGACCTAGCTACGATGTAGAAGTGGGAACCGGAGATGAAGTAGGATGATGAGCACCTCCAATCGTGATAATATCGTCCTTGTTCATCATACTAGAAGAATTCGTAACCGCGGCTAGTTTACTGCGCTGTTGATACTTCTCCTTCCTCGCATCCTTCTTCATCTGCTCCTCTCTGCACTCTAGACTACAGAACGCCGTATCTCCCCTGCAACCCACAAAAAAAAAAAAAAATCTCAGCATCAACCCTTTCTGGCATTAGTTGCAGAACAAAAAAATCGACTTACACACAGATTTACGCAGTTCACTAATACGATGGTTGTTAGCTAATTCAGGAGCATGAGAGAGTAGAGACCAGTTTTTCAATGCAATCGCAATTGAGAAAGAAACCCCAAAACGTTATGACTTCCAATCGACGGCAGATAATCGCTCTTTAATTCGCAACAATAAAAAAAAAAATGAAGAAGAAGGAGGAGGAGGAGGAAAAAGTACCTGTACATGTAGATGTCGTTGGAGGGAGCGAGGCGGCGTTGGCAGAGACCGCAGGTCCTCAAGAAATGAGATTCCATCGACACGCTTCTCAATTTGTGGAGCTGGGGATGGTTATGATTATGATTATTCCTGGGCGAAACCATGCTCGCTAAGTAATGATTCTCCACCGTCGTCGACGGATCGACGGCGTTGTGTGGGCCGCCGCCGTTGATCGGCGAATCGGACGGCGGCGGCGGCGGCGGGTGGGGAGAATCGACGACGACGGTGATTCCGGTCATGCTGGTGGTTCTCCTCATCGCCATATCAGGCCGCGGCCGCTTCCCCAGCTGCATCATCTCAATTAGCTTCCCTTTCTTTTGTTTTATAGTTGTGGAGGAGGGGAAGAGGGAGAAGAAAAGGGAAGAGGGAGAAGAAGAGTGGGTGAGTTGCAGAGAGGACAATGAATAATAATGGCGGTGATGTGTGGAAGAAGGCGCAGCAAAAGGAAATTAAATAAAAAGAAAAAAGGACGAAAGAAATGAAGGAAAAAGGAATATTAATAATAAAATAAAGGGGAGAGAGAGAGGAAAGGGGGAAGTGGGAGCGAATCTTGGCCGTTGCTTGCGGCCACGTCACCACACCCTCTTTCGTCTTCTTTCTCTCTGTCCCTCCTTTTTTTCAGGTTCTTCTCCTCTTTGCCAAATGCCAAATAGTAATTGGCTGTGTTAATATATGCTACAATCCGACTACAATGCTCACATGTTTTTGGAATCGTTGGATTGAGTGTGGGCGGTTGGAGATGATTAGATGGACGGAGTGACAAATTGTTTAGAAAGTTATCACTATCTTCGTTCAATGATTTCAAATTGTTCGCTCTCAGTTCAATGACTCTACACGTCCGTGAGCACATTCTCACAAAGCAGTTGTGAGCATTTTTAGCAATGATTTTCAATTATTCGCTCTCAGTTCAATGACTCTGTACGACCGTGAGCACATTCTCACAAAGCAGTTGTGAGCATTTTTAGCAAAATTGGATATGGTATATATATGGAGGGTAATTAGGTTAATCAAACTTGATGAGAAATAAAATGGTATGTGTCTGGCCAGAAGTATAAGGTATATTTTGTAATATTTTTAATACTTTGAGTTATTAGGACTAACCGATTCTTGAAACAGTGGAAAAGTTTGTGACAACCAACAATTATTGCATTATAATCCCCGTGGCTCAATAAATATCAACAGCTGATTTAAGCACAAAATACAATGGTTATATACAAACTTAAATCTTGTGGGGTTGGTTTTCGTTTGATTGAGTGTAAGTAAATTATATAAGAGAACGATAAAGATCCATTATGAAACCTCTTTCAACAATTTGAAGATTTAATTGGGATCAACTAGTTTTCGAAACATCTCGAATCAGGTTAAACATTATAACATATATATTTCTATTATAGCTCATTCGAATGATGGCTTGTGATTATGAAAACTATGAAAAAATTTGTGTCTGTCTCTAGTCTTTTAAAGGGCAGGAAAATAGAACAAGATGAAATCCATTTCCCCCGAGGAGATGGAATCTGAATCCTTATATTTCATAATTGTGTCACAACGATTTCTCTTGTTGCTTTAGATTTCCTTACTCGATTGTCCAATATTCGATTTGTCGAATGAGGATCAACACTATCTTATTAAAATCACCTCTTCATACATTCAACCCCAAAATGAAAGCTTGCGTAACCATATTGCTGCTGTTAAATATATGTCATAATGTTCACAAAAGGAAATAAAGTTCGTCCTAATAACTCGAATGTCTCTGTCGTTAAAGAAATTAGGTTATTTGTCTCGGAATAAGATGATTGGTTCCACAGGTAACCAAGAATGTTAAGGGAGCACTAGAGTGTTAGGTAAGTCAAGAAAGGGGTTAATTGAGAAAGCTACTTATAATCCAATTGATTATTAACACTAGACTATATACTAATAAGGCCACCAGGAAATGGGAGCAGTTTTGACATCGACGTGAGGAATGGTTGTCACTTTCGGCCATGAAAAACAAGGTGTATGTATGTAAGACGAGGTCATATGGGAGGTTGATCGATTTCTGGTCAGGAAAAAAGGGGGGAAAAATCAAAACAATTTTCCCATATAAAAACTTAAATTACTCTTCTGATCATTACTCCTTTTTTATTTCTACCACAAGATACTACTTCCTCTTCTGATTTGTTGAATTCAGAACTAAGTTCCTAATTTGTCTAACATAATTGAGAAACTTGGTAGTAATAGGGTAAAAAAGGGTTCAATAGATATCACAAGTATGTCTTATTCACTTATAGGTATTCCTGTGCAATAAGATTGACCGACCGTCCACCGCCTTCAACGAGCATACATCTAATGATTGTGACATATAATGAAGACAACATACCATGTACGATGTAGGAGACATGGACATAACGTGTGTAACGATCAAAATATTCAACGGGAGTACAACCTTTTCCTACTCACAACCCCAAAGTGATCATAAGTAGATCTAGAACCTTGGTAAACCACCCACAACACTACTCATAGTAATTTAGACCTAACCTCTGGAATCAAATGCATCATTATGCATTCCAAAAGTGATGAGATGCAAAGAATGAGAGTGAGTGAGGGAGAGGTTGTGTAATAATAGATGTCTCCTACCATACCAACCCATGAGTGAAAAAAAAAAGGAGAGGCTAGACAACATTAGACAAGGCAAAGCAATAATGGGTTTATAAAAGATACATTGATCCCTCCAACCAACCAATTTAGACCCACTAACCCAAAGTTTTCCCCTCTTATAAATAATGTGGCATTACATAATCAAGCACTATGTACTATAGCATGGGGTGGATGCACTCATCAACCACATCATTGGAAGCCTTGAAAAAGAAACTTCATTCCATATATACAACACTACCCATTAATATTCTTATGAGTCGTTTTCTCTCTACTTTCAATTTCCTTCTCAATTGGTCTTCTTTCTCTTTTGAAGATGCTCCAAAAGAGTGTCACAGCTCATGGTCTAGTAATATCGTTGGCAACTTCACGATGTGAGTGAGACATATGGAGGCTTTAATGGGTTTTAAGGAGCTACATCCATGAGAATCATTTAACAAGATGAGCCAATTGGATGCGGCTCATCAGAAATTATGTGTAACTCCTTCAAAACTCGATTGATCGAGGCTATACAAGCGAGAATCAGATCCGAGCATGTAAAAACGCAAGTCTTGATAGTGTTTGTTGCCCGGAGGTTCGATTCATATTGCCACTATTGACACAACACCTGCGTATAAGTTATAAAGGGTATCTATTGAAAAGGGAATCGTAGAAGATGGACATCGTCCACAACCCTAGTTATCGAGACGGCCGACTGCCTCTCGACATGTCATTTGAACCTTTGACTGAGAGGCCTGATGTTCGAATCCTTGTGACTATACGAGTATGCTTTAATTTCAAAGGGGCATGTAAGATAATAAGTTTAGGGCTCGTTTGGAAGTTGCGATTGTTAAATAGATGTATTGTTGAGAATGCATGTATAATATTATACATGTATTGTCGAATTTGATGCATTGTATAATACAACGTTTGGTACGTGTGATTGTGTATGTCGCATCAGCTAAAAGCTGAGACAAAACAATCTCAACTCAATTATCTCAACAATCACAACAAAAGGTTGAGATATAACAATCACTCAAAATGAGTGATAGTTTCTGTCACATCACAGAAACAATTCATGTATTGTTTCTGCTAAAAAAACGATACATTGTAAACAATACATGCATAATAACAATCTCAACAAAACTATCGCAACTTCCAAACGACCCCTAAGATACCTACATCACAATCAGATTGTGTGCTTTAACTTTAACTGCTTGAAACCACACCTTATTAGATATTATTAGTTAGAGTGAGTGCCTTGTAATCAAAAGGCAGATATTTTTTTCATTTCTCCCTGATAAAGATCTGAACCACACTTAACTTAGCATACACACATGACTTTGCACAATCGGCAAGTTGCTGCCTTGGCTTATTTTTTGGGGCGATGGATGCAAGTAGTTGATTGCTTTTCTCAATAAGCCAGCTGCCAATCAAGTTTCCTCGATTGTCCACTGCTTTAACCAGCAATCTGTGTTCCACAAAATCGAGCACACCACGTGCTAGCCTGTGATCATGCGGTATATAATAAAGCAGGGTTTAGAGAGGGAGAGGATCATTATTTTTAGTAGTACAGCTGCCCACAATTATTTATTAAGTACACTTGATTAATTACTAATTTCCAAACAACATGCTAGCATTTTGTTAGGCTTAAGGCAGGTGTTGGGGTCATTAACAAGCGCGACTAGATCGTTTAGGTATAGTTTGTGTGCGCGTCTAGGCAATGGCGTAAGTAGTTAGGTGTTCGATCATATCTAGCGTCTATCTTGTCTAAACATCGACTAAGGGTGTTAAGCGTTGTAAGGAAGAATAGAAGTTTGTAACTGATTAGCGAAAGAAATAATTATTTTACATATCTTCTGCTTCAGCTCAAATGATTAATAACTAACTCGACACTTAACAATATAAGTTTGTAGAATCATAGCTCAATAGCTTGCAAAGTTCTTGAACTATTGAAAAAATTGGGAGAAAAGATTGAGTTTGTAGATTATGTTAATTTCTCCATTTTGATATTGGCTGCCTTGCTCCGCCTAATTACACCTAGGTATTGTCGTACTTCGCTCACAAAGTTCTTGAACTATCGAAAATATTGAGAGAAAAGATTGAATTTGTAGTTGATGTTAATTTCTCCATTCTGATATTCCTTGCCTAGCTTCGCCTAATTACGCCTAGGTATTGTCGTACTCCACAGCTATGTTCGTGATTTCTAACTCACTGTGGAATGCATAGGCGAGGTTTTTTTTTTTACTTCGCCTTCAACGTTATGCAACAAGTTCAGTTTGCATCTATACATTTTTGTACAATTTCGTTTATGATAGAAACCGAACTTGTATATTTGACGTTACGACGGAGGCTGAAACCACCAAAACAAAGTAGATGGCATGGGCTCTCCAACATTATGTTTTGTCTTTTCAATGGACTTTGTAGATACATAGATCACAATTCTGGTCCGGCCCATTTCATTCAAGTCGTTTAGTTCTTTTACCCAATGTTTGTCTTGGGCTTTAAGTTTTTTAAATGCCTAAGCTGAGCCCATTATCACTAAAGCAAGAACAACCGCAGCCCAGGTCTCGAAATCGTTCCGTTCCATTTCCCTCTTCGAACTTCTTACCAAACGCTCCACCTCATCTCTTCTCGCCGTCGCCGCCCGCCGGAGACCGTAGAGACCAAACCGCCGCGGCCAATTGTCCTTCCTTTCTAAATCTGTTTTCTTCCCCGTTTCAATTGCTGTGTACACCGTGGAAGCGAGGATTCAAAGGCTTTTGGTATATATTACCTACTCTTACCCAGTTACCGCCACCAACCCCTCCAAACCCTTTCCAATATTCCATTTCCCACCAACCCCTCAACCCCCGAGATCCCACCTTTCTACAAAAAAAGAAACAAAGTTCCAAGCTTTACGAAACCCAACGACTCTCTCTCACAATGGCTGCTTCTCTGCAAGCTGGTTCCACTCATGGGATTGTCAGGAATCAACCTTTCCCGCCACTTCGTTCGGCTTCACCCTGCTATGGGAATTCTGTTTCCTTCCCTTCCCAGCTACCCTCTCTCAATCTGAAGTAAGCCTGAGCTCTCTTCATCTTGGTTCCCTTCAATGCAGTTCATTTTTGAAAGTTTTGGATTTGGTGATGTTAATGTGTAGAAAAGAAAAAGGAATTTGCTTTCTTAGAATGTCGGGGGAGTGGATCAGTGAGTTTCCAATTTCCTCATTGCGCATAACAATTTGTTGCCAGAAAGAGTCCACCTTCGTGGCTTTGTTTATTTGGGTGCATCTAGTTTGGTATTGCTTTTTGATTGAGAAAGCTTGGTGAAATTGGGGATCAATGTGTCCGGCCATCTGTTTGATATCCTGTCTGCTTTCTGAGGGGTTGAAAAGCATATATTAATCCCATTTTTTTTGGGGTACTTCTTGTTTCCTTCGCTGATCAATTGCAGTTCTTGATAGGTCAACTGAGACATCAATGTCAGTACGTTTCTCTACAATAAGGGCAATGGCTAAGTCTGATAATGCCGCTGAAGCTGTGGAATTGGATATCTCATTGAGCCCCAGAGTGAATTCGGTGAAACCCTCGAAAACTGTGGCCATAACGGATCAGGCAACTGCTCTAGCAGAAGCTGGTGTTCCTGTGATTCGGCTGGCTGCTGGAGAACCCGATTTCGACACCCCAGCTGTGATTGCCGAGGTAATAATGGTCTTTCTCTTGTCAATCAGTCTGTATCCCTTTCTTTTCTCTCCGGAGTTTCATTAATCGTCGCTAACTTTATTTGTTCTTGGATGGTTAGGCTGGCATTAATGCTATCCGTGAAGGTTACACTAGGTACTCCCCTAATGCTGGCACACAGGAGCTTCGTGCAGCAATTTGTAAGAAGCTGAAAGGTGTGTCTTCATACTTGTGCTTACATGTACTACTGCAATATGACGGTTAGATTTCAGCTTATTAATTTGTCTACATTTTCAGAGGAGAACGGTCTCTCTTATTCGCCTGACCAGGTTGTAGTTAGCAATGGAGCGAAGCAGTGCATCATTCAAGCAGTACTTGCAGTTTGTTCCCCAGGGGATGAGGTGAAATTCTTGATCAATTGAAAATCTAGTCCCTGCTAGTGTGAATTATAACGACTTTGTACAACTATTTTCAGGTTGTCATCCCAGCACCGTTCTGGGTTAGTTATCCGGAAATGGCGAGATTGGCTGATGCTGAACCTGTGATTGTTCCAACCTCTATCTCTGAGAACTTTCTTATGGATCCAAAAGTGTTGGAATCCAAACTTACCGAGAAGTCGAGACTATTGATACTCTGCTCTCCATCTAACCCAACAGGATCTGTTTATCCCAGGGAATTGCTAGAAGAGATTGCCAAAATTGTAGCTAAACATCCCAGACTTCTGGTATGCTTGCTCTACGCAGTATGAAATCCTCTCCCTATTCATTTATATATGTTTACATTTTAAATGTTTTATTGATTGGTTTTAGGTTCTGTCCGATGAAATATACGAACACATTATTTATGAACCTTCCAAGCACACAAGCTTTGCGTCTTTGCCAGGCATGTGGGAAAGGACTCTCACAGTAAATGGATTTTCCAAGGTAAACCGAAATGCGTTTGTATTTTCTGTTTGGTGATTGCAAACTTTTCTATAAGACTGTTTTCAACCGGAAGACTAGGCCATCCCAGGGCTCTGATGTTTAGAGATTAAAATTTGCAGGCTTTTGCCATGACTGGGTGGAGACTTGGATATATTGCTGGTCCTAAGCATTTCGTATCAGCATGTAACAAGATACAAAGCCAGGTATTGCAAATTTCCAAGAATGTTAAGAGTTAAGACTTGTTAACAATGTCTACTGAAAATTTTGAAAATGTTGCCCTGAGGCTGATACTTTGAGGGAAATGTTCTATCTTGCCTGATTTGTCTATGCATTGACCATTGACCAGTGATGCTTGGTTCTCATCACTGTTCTTGCTCCTGTCTTTAAATCTTCTAAGGTTTACCAGATAAGTCATGTGACATTAGATTATGGAACATTTGGATCCTTGTGCTAAATACTAAATAGGGTCGTTAGAGCTTAAACAATCTTTGCCTGAGCACTTGACATACGGAACTTTCATCCTTGTTTCACCTGTATTACTTCTGAAAATCATTTTACGCATTGGTTCTCAACATTTTAGTGCCCAATGTGTTGATGTAGATTGCCAATTGGCATCCAAACTTCAGAACAAGTATGATTGTTCATACAAGCTTTCTTCTAGAAGCTGCTGAAGAACTAGCTAGGTCTCTGTTGATTTACTGAAAGCATTCAAAAGAAATCTTAGAGCCCTAGTTTTTTTGTAACTATTCCGTTTGCTGTGTATATTGGGCAAAAGAAATCTTAAGTACGGTGGTTTCTTTTTGCAGTCAACTTCTGGGGCCAGCAGTATATCACAGAAAGCTGCAGTTGCTGCATTGGGACTAGGCTATGCCGGTGGGGAAGCAGTGGCTGCCATGGTGAAAGCATTCAGGGAGCGTCGAGACTTCTTGGTTAAAAGCTTTGGAGAAATCGAAGGGGTCAAGATTTCGGAACCTCAGGTGAAAAATAAATTTCCCAGAATCTCCAAAACTCTGGTTCCCTCCTTGCTATAATAAACCCACATCCATATATAACTTGAAATGGGGCATTTCCTTCGCAGGGTGCATTCTATCTGTTCATTGATTTCAGCACGTACTACGGGTCAGTGGTTGAAGGTTTCGGGGAAATTGCGGACTCTGAATCCCTCTGTAGATACCTGTTGGACAAGGCTCAGGTGAACAATAAAAGCTGCTACCTCTGTCAATTGTTGAAGGTTTCTAATGTGTGTTGTGTTTCAATGGTGAGTTATCGTTTTCTTCTTGTATAGGTTGCATTGGTCCCGGGAGTTGCATTTGGAGACGACACGTGCATACGGATCTCTTATGCGGCATCCCTCCCCACATTGCAGGCAGCTGTGGAGAGGATTAAGAAGGCAATCGTCTCTCTCAGGCCTGCTGTTCCAGTTTGAGTGTTTCATGTCTGTATAATATGTGGTCAAGTTAATGTAAGTTGTTGGATTTGGTATGTGCATCTCTTTGTGTTACAAGTCTTGCGTTTCAAGTTAGGAGCAAAGCTTAACGGCACATTTTGATCTGATGATCTCACTTTACCCACATTCTGCACTTTTACCTCTTCCATATCAGAGTCCAGAAATAAGATAAGGATCGATTCTTTCTAATGCTTGTCATCTTCCCCTCTCCCTCCCTGTTGAGGCACCAAGAAGATGTTATGCCATTCCAACAAACGTCGTCGACAGTTGGCCGTCGGTTTAACATGACTCTGTCACTCCTTTTTACAACGTAAGTCCATTACCTATGGAGAGATTCGAATTGCTAAATACTCAAATATGGAACAAGAATTGTTGGATTTGGGAAGCATTCAAAAGACAGAATAAGGGGTCGTTTGGATGTGGAAATGTAATGCAGTAATTGGACCCAATTACCACATAATGCAGTAATTGGGTCAAAAATCCACGTTTGGGAGAGCAAAAAGGGTATGAGAATTGGACCATGGAAATTGGCTTCAATTACCACATTCATGGTAATTGAGAATACTACACCTCCCCCTAGTAATTTGACATTACCACGTTTGCTCACTTCTTTTTCCAAATTCCACACCATCAATTCTCACAAAACTAAACCCTATCCAAACGTGAATTTTTTTCAATTTCCACAAGTCAATTCCTTGGTTTTGTAAAACATGGAAATTCAGACAAATTCCAACGTTTTCAAATTTCCACATCCAAACGACCCCTAACTCTCTATTGAATGGAAACATAATAATCACATTCAAAATTTCCCCACGGAAAGGGTCAATGGACTCGATCTATCGTCCCAAGCTCCACCAGGTCTCTTTGGATTCAACTCAAATTCGAACCACTCTGCCACTTTCCTTCATTGGCTTTTACTACAAAAACTTAGCTGGGGGAGAAACAAGTAAAAAAGACCAACGAAGAGGTCAGAATCTCTGCAGCATGCACAAATGGCAGCAAAAGCCATAATTTCCTTTAGCTCACAGAACATAAATGGAACTGCAACGAAGAAAAACAAGAGTTGTACCTATTTCATCTGTTCTAATCTTGGGAAACTGAAGAGGCAGCATCCTTCAGACAAGACCTCATAATTTTCGCAAGCTTAGAGCAAGCATCGAGACATAGCTCCATGGCCTGTTAGCCAAGAAATACAAGCGTTAAAAGGAAAGCACAACACATTGACAATTATGAACGCACGGAGAGCAACGAGTTTCCATGTCTTGCACATACCTCGTTCAGGTTTGCCGATGACCATTCTCCTGTAATGGTTAGCTGGGTAACCTTGTATCTTGATGGCATACAAGTCAGCATTAGGCTTCCATCTTGAGAGCTTTCCTCTTCTTGTACTGGATCAATCACTAGGTTTTTTCTACCGAGAGAGGCCTATAAGATAGAAACAGAAATCCAAATATAAGCCGACAATGTGAAGAAATGCAAAGCACTTCAATAAAAGAGTGACTGGCCATGCCATAATGCAGTGAGATCATAATGCTTATCCGGCAATTGGAAAGTTGAAAACTGCTTACCACAGAAACACCAGCAACAAGGTCATACATCATAATCCCTGCATCGGCTAGGGCAAGGCTTGCACAGGACACTACCACAGGAAGATCGCCTAGAAACCATAACGACAAGCTCATAAATGTCTTCATGGAATATCAGATCGCAACTCATAAAACTTTTCTTTGCCAAAACAACGAGACAAATATGCTAAAGAGACTTGATTTCTGGACCATTCAAGAAGCAGATAGTGTTAATCTAAACAAAAGTTTTAAAGCTTAATATAAAGCTGACTTACTGCCTCCAGACTCCAACACCAAAGCAAAAACATCTACTGTTGTCTTTGGAAAAGTTTCCAACAATATGGCGCCTTCGAGAGCTTTGTGAAGCATCGAAGACAGCTCTTTACAGTCTGCCTCCTATATAAAAATGAAAGAAGGCTTGCATATCAGATATAATATGGTTCATCCACATTTGAATCCAAGCAACAAGAATGGATGTGATTATTGATTTATTTCATACCTGACTACGCACTGGAGTAGCAAATTTCGTGTAGCTAACGTTGCAATTTAACCGGCCCACATCACTATACAACATTGCCTTCTTGCTTTCTCTGGGTCCAAATCTGAATGCCAACAAGGAAAAAGATAAGTCATATAGAGCTTGTTAAGAAGTTCATACCACAAGATAAACTACAATGATGGTCCATATCTCCAGTCTTATAAGCAAACAAAATGTTGAAATCGGGAAGATGACGAAACATAGAGATGATGGAAGGAGATCGGAAGTCCTTTATATTAAGTTACAGATCTCCAACAGGGTATACAAGATATACTCACATAGAAACAATGACCTTTGTATTTCCAAACTCGGCATAAGCAGATCCAGCAGCAGCATTTACAGCAGCTGTCCTGAAAACTGGAAGAGGAGATAGTTCATGCAATATTCAACTGGAGTTGATTCACTATCCAATAGTTGTAGTGCAACATAAGCAAGTACAAATATCCATATGCTGGCAGATAAAACAGGTGTACAAATCCATTGACAAACCAAAACTGAGGACCCTCTTGATTTGTGAACTTTTGATAAGCTTCTGAACTCAATAGAACCTTTGCACAGGATCAAGAAGCTTCATGAACCCTAGGCAATAAATGCTGCAACTTGAATGCATGGAATCAACACCAATCTACATCGAAACCAGTGGCAGCAAAACATTCTGAAAATCTAATAATCCAACAAAGATAACCTTGCAGCAACAAATAGTCAATTAAGAACTGTTCTGTTCTTCAAAATCAGAATTCCCAACTAACAAAAGAAACAGGAAGAGGCAAACGGACACATGAGGTTCAACTCATAGCAAGGAGACCAAATTTAAACAAACGAAACCAAAGTTGAGAGTCTTGAAAAAGGGAAGACTATCAGAATGCACAAGGGCAATGGTTCAACTACATCATAAGGACACCTCATACTAAACAAAGCCTCGCAGACTGTGAACAAGCTCTTGACAATGAAGGGCAACTATTCACGAAATGCCCGCAGGCATTTCTGCTAAACCACCCAAACAACTCCTAAAAGCCCCCATGCATATGCCTGTTTACCACCAGGGAGAACTTAAATGGAAGAACTTTGAAAACTGTTCAAGAAAACACTGACCACCCAGTAACCAAAAAACCAAACAAAAACATAAATTGGAAAGATTTCGCTGATGAACTGCAAAGGAACAAAGGGTGGGAACAGTTTCTTTCTATTCAGCTGGTAAAGGAAACAAGAAGTCGGAGAAAGGGGAATCATACAGGCGGGGCGACACTGATGGAATCCACGGCTGTCGGGTCGGACCCAATCGACATCGGGCCGTGTTTTTTTCAAGGACGGCGTCGGAGAGTACGTTGTGGGAACTCCAGGACTGGGTTTGGATGCCATTACTGAGAAAGTGCGGAAAAAAAAACCCTTTCTCTCTCGTGACAGAACTCGGAAGAAGATGAATTCGGCGAATTTCCCGTCCCGCTCGAATTGGTCCGAGACTCGGACACTAGGTTTGTTAAGACGGTACCGTAGAGGAAGAGAGTGGGCTTAATTTGCTTGGAAAAGGAATGGGCTTAAGAGATCCAGCTAAGTTAGCAGACTTAAAGCCCACGACTCAAAGAGTTTCCATAGGTTATGCAGATTTGAATTTTGCACAAAATCTGCTTGAATTACCCCATCCAAACGACCCCTGAATTTACAACTACGAGTTAAACTGTACAGTGAAGTATCTACGATTATATGCCGATTTTTTAATATATAGAGAAATCATACACCGATACATATATCTTTACATCTTGACATGATTTGTCGATGACTATGCAGGATGCATTGATTAATTGATATACAAAGCTCAACTACTGGCTGGTGTGTCTGTTACTTTGCTTGAGTGGTCATGTTATTTCTTGAAGATATAAGAAACAAGATCGAGTATCTAACTCATCCATGTAAGCAGAATACCGAGCTATGCCTCACATTGTGTCAGAATTTAGAGTGGTTACATTCTCCCTTAATTGGGTGATTTGGGTATGTTATAAACGCGCTGCTACGGATCGGGAAATCGCCGGGATCGACAAAGCAAGAATACGAAAGCGAGAATCGAAAACACGACACACGATTTACGTGGTTCACTAACACGATGTGTGTTAGCTACGTCCACGGGCGAGAGAGAGCCGATTTCACTATATCAAAGGAGATTACAGATTACAGAGGAGTATGAGAAGTATTTATAGTACTTCTCCATGTGGGTCTAAACCTAATCCAATCTGCCAAAGGAAACGGTTACAGACCAGGCCCAGAACCCGATTACCAGTCGTAGCGGCTGATAGTCCGATTCAAGTCACATCAACATGATGTTTTGTTGACCCGCATTTGGGTTCGATGCATAAGATTCGAGGAGGATTCTTCGGGGTTAGCATTTTCCAGAGAATGGCAACCTATCCTTAGAGGCCTAGGCATAGTCCATAGATCAGTTGTAATAATCCGATTACCAGTCGTAGCGGCTGATAATCCGATTCAAGTCATATCAACAAATCTCCACCTTGACTTGAATCCTCTTCCTCTGAAATCTCTGATGTACTCTGCTCCTTCTCTCTCTCCCGCCATCAATGCCCCGTAGGGCGGAGTCACCCACTCAAGACATTCAGCAAGTCCAAGCAGTGTTGGAACTTGCCATGTGGAACCGGCTTCGTGAACATATCAGCAGGATTATCCGCGGTGCCAACCTTCTTCACCTTAATCCTCTTCTCTGTCCTCAAGAAATGATACCTCACATCGATGTGCTTAGTCCTCTCATGGTGGACTTGATCCTTGGCCAAGCATATTGCACTCAAACTGTCGCAATACACCACTGCCTGATCATGATGTAGACCCAGATCACCAACCAGTCCCTTCAACCATATTCCCTCCTTAGCAGCTTCTGTCAACGCCATATACTCTGCCTCGGTAGTAGACAAAGTCACTGCCGACTGCAGAGTTGCCTTCCAGCTCACTACAGAACTCCCAAGAGTGAATACATAACCGGTCATCGATCTCCTCGTGTCAACATCTCCAGCATAGTCCGAGTCAGAATACCCAGACACCAAGCACTCTGTATCACTTCCGAAGCTAATCCCCACATCAGGTGTACCCTTAAGGTACCGAAAGATCCTCTTCACAGCCTGCCAATGCTCCTTCCCAGGTTGTATCATAAACCTGTTGACAACACTAACAGCATGTGCAAGATCAGGTCTAGTGCATACCATAGCGTACATCAAGCTACCTACTGCACTAGCATATGGGACTCTCGACATGTACTCCTTCTCAGCCTCTGACTGCGGTGCATAAGCTGAGGATAGATGAACATTTGAAGCACTAGGAGTATTTAAGGGCTTTGCTGAAGACATGCCAAACCTCGACAATATCTTCTATATGTAGCTCTTCTGTGACAAGAAAAGCTTCTTCTTCGACCTGTCCCTGTAAATCTCCATACCCAAGATCTTCTGAGCAGCTCCCAAATCCTTCATCTCAAACTCAGCACTGAGAAGCCCCTTTAACTTCTGGATATCAGACTTTGACCTCGCAGCTATGAGCATATCATCCACATACAAAACTAGATATATCATCGAACCATCCTCTGCCTTGTTGTGATATACACAACAATCATATGGACTTCTATTGTAGCCCAGCTCAAGCATGTAACTGTCAAATCTCTTGTACCACTGCCTCGGAGATTGCTTAAGTCCATACAAGGACTTCTTCAGCTTACAAACATAGTCTTCTTTTCCGGGAACCTCGAATCCTTCTGGCTGAGTCATGTAAATTTCTTCCTCCAACTCTCCATGTAGGAAAGCTGTCTTCACGTCTAGCTGCTCGAGCTCCAAGTCATAATGTGCCACTATTGCTAGTAGCACTCTAATCGAAGTATGTCTGACCACTGGTGAGAAATTCTCATTGTAGTCAACTCCTTCCCTCTGCGAGAAGCCTCGTGCAACCACCCGAGCTTTAAATTTCATGCCCTCTTTAGAAGTGATTCCTTCCTTCTTCTTGTAGATCCACTTGTTTGTAACAATCTTCCTTCCCTGTGGTCGTTTGACTAGCTCCCAAGTCTGATTCCTGTCATGGGATTCCATCTCATCTCCCATTGCGGCAAGCCACTGATCAGCTTCACCACCCGAAACCGCTTCTCTATAGGACTGTGGCTCTCCTGCATCCACTTCCTCAGCAACCTGAAATGAATACGCCACCATGTCCTCGAAGCCATACCTCTGTGGAGGTACTCCTGCAGTCGCTCTCTTCGGTCTACCGGAAGCAATAGACTGTTTAGCTCGTGCACTGGACTCTGAAGTTTCTGGCTCTGCAGAGACATCCTCATCATGTTGATCTTCTCCACCTTGGTGCTCAAACTCACTCTCATTGAGAGTTTGCAGCTCCACCTGTTTATCAACATTCCTGCTATCTTCAACAACAGTAACCTTCAACATGGGGTTAAACATAGACTTCTCATCAAATATCACATTTCTACTAAGTATAACTCGATGCTCAGAAGGTGACTAGACTCGAAATCCCTTAACTCCATCTCCGTAACCCACAAATACACCCTTCTTTGCCCTTGGGTTCAGTTTACCCTCATCCACATGATAATAAACAGGACACCCAAAAACTTTCAGTGAAGAGTAATCAACAGGCTTACCATACCACACCTCATAAGAAGTCTTACACTCGATACCTGTGTGAGGTCCACGGTTGATCAGGAAGCACGCCATGTTCACTGCTTCTGCCCAGAATCTTCTCTCTAGTCCAGCATTAGAGAGAATGCACCGTGCTCTCTCCAACAATGTCTGGTTCATCCTTTCTGCAACGCCATTCTGCTGGGGTGTATCTCTAACAGTCCGATGACGGGGAATCCCTTCATCCTTGCAGAATTCGTTGAACTCAGAACTGCAGAACTCCAGACCATTGTCCGTTCGCAGCTTCTTGATCTTCTTCCCGGTCTGATTCTCCACCAATGTCTTCCACTGCTTGAACTTCGTGAAAGCCTCACTTTTCTGCTTCATCATGAAAATCCAAGTAAATCTCGAATAATCATCAATAATAGACAGAAAATACCTGCTGCCTCCAATGGATTCAACTCGTGAAGGACCCCAACAGTCGGAGTGGAGGTAATCCAGTATCCCCTTCGTCCGGTGGATACCCTTCTTGGGAAACTTGCTGCGATGTAGCTTCCCAAATACACAATGCTCACAGAATTCCAAATTCTGCACCTTGTGTCCGCAAAGAAGATCCCTCTTCGATAGGACTTGCATCCCCCGTTCACTCATATGCCCCAATCTCATGTGCCAGAGAGTGGTCATATCTTCCTGTTGAACCTGAGACGATGCAACTGCAGCAGAACCAGACAACACAGACCCTTGTAATGCATACAAGGTCCCACGCTTCACGCCCTTCAGCACCTTCCTTGAACCTTTGCAGACATACACAACTCCACCTTTTCCTTTGAAGCTGAAACCCTTGCTGTCGAGTAGACTCAAGGAGATCAGGTTCTTTGTCATTCGTGGAACATGCCTGACATCATTCACGGTACAGAACGAACCATCATGTGTCTGAACCTTTATGGACCCGATTCCAACAACCTTGCAGACAACTCCATTAGCCATGACCACGTTACCACCATCTATCTGCTCGTAAGTTGTGAAGCAATCCCTGTTCGGAGACATATGGTATGAGGCTGCAGTATCCAGAAACCACACATCACCACGATGTGCCTTCTCATCTACAGCCAAGGCAAGATCGTCTTCAGAATTGTTGTCCACTTCTGCCACGGCAACTGAACCTTGTTTCTTCTGTTGCCCTCTTCTCTTGGGACAGTTGTACTTCCAATGCCCCACTTCCTTACAGTTGTGACAAGCATCACCTGGCTGTGGACCGGGACCCTTGGAATTCTTGCTCGAATTCCCTTTACCAGATTTCTTCTTTCCCTTTCCACCTGTAACAGCCAAACCCGATGCCTCACCACCTGTACCAGATCCGGACGCCTTATGCCTGATCTCTCTCGTATGAAGAGCAGACCTGACATCCTCCAACGACACGCTTTCTTTACCAGCAATAAAAGAATCAACGAAATTCTCATATGAACTCGGCAAAGAAACCAGCAGGATTAGGGCAGCATCCTCGTCATCAACTTGAACATCTATATTACGCAGATCCAGCAAAATAGAGTTAAGTTGTTCGAGATGTTCCCTCAAAGGCGTACCTTCTTGCATCCTCAAACTGAACAACCGTTGCTTGAGATGCAGCTTGTTGGTTAGAGACTTCGTCATATACAGACTCTCCAGTTTCAACCACAAGCCCGCGGCAGTCTTCTCAGCAGCGACTTCAATGATGACGTCATCAGACAACGATAGCATGATGGTCGAGTGGGCCTTCTCCTCCAGGGTATTCCACTCATCGTCATCGACCGCTGCCTTCTTCTGTTTCGCAGACAGCGGCCCCCACAGCCCTTGCTGTTTTAATAAAGCCTGCATCTTGATCTGCCATATAGCGAAGCTGTTCTTCCCCGTGAACTTTTCGATCTTCATGTTCACCGACGTCATTCTTCTGAATCGAAAACCCTAGCCTGATTTCCAGCCGCGGCTCTGATACCACTTGTTATAAACGCGCTGCTACGGATCGGGAAATCGCCGGGATCGACAAAGCAAGAATACGAAAGCGAGAATCGAAAACACGACACACGATTTACGTGGTTCACTAACACGATGTGTGTTAGCTACGTCCACGGGCGAGAGAGAGCCGATTTCACTATATCAAAGGAGATTACAGATTACAGCGAGACCCCCGATTACCAGTCGTAGCGGCTGATAGTCCGATTCAAGTCATATCAACAGGGTATAACTCGTGAGATGTCTACAGAAATATATATGTCTCAGAGTTCCATTCACATTTTTACTTTTTTTATTATTATTATTATACGATGGTGATAGTAAAAGCGACAAGCGTCTACTCTGGTACAATGCGGCAAGAGTCAAGTCTCAGATTCTCTCCATTCACGTTGCTGCAAATCCTATTTTTCATGATCGAACAAAAGTATATATATTGAAATACATGTCCACTATATTTGTAATACGAGGAACAGTTTATTGATCTCTTGATCGCTAAGGCCACTACTATTGCTCGTCGCTCGTATCTTATTGAAAAATTTGACGATGCAGGACCCTCGTCAATTTGAAGGAGGCTGTTGAGTTATTTCTTTCTCATTAAACTTGACATGTAAGCCTTGGTCGAAGATCAGAAGTGGGTTTCTACGCAAATTTCCTCCCTTGATCCTCTTCCAAGTGTATTTGGTGACGAGAACGTGTAGAAATGTGGCCACGAACAGTCGTGCATATTCGGATCCTGCGCATTGTTTCATTCCCCATCCAAACGGCATCAAATCCTTGTACATTCTATCACTTGGACTCACCCTCTGCAAGAAGTAATTTTTTTTAAAGTATAGGTTAAAAGGTTAAAAAAAAATCATAAATATATACATTTATCGTGATAAACGAAATCGCGATATTATTATTATTATATGATTGATAAGCGATTTAATCGATACAATCGAGTGATATATATACGTAACGACGACGAACTCACACTCCAACGCCAGGGGTTGAAGGTAAGAGGATCCTTGTAAGTGTCGGGATTCAAATGCATAGCACTGATAGCAATCAGGATTCCGCAACCTTCCGGGATCGTGTATCCTGCACAATCAAGATATTATTGTAAATAAAAATGTGATTACTGATGAGAAGTAAGTTTTTTTTTTGTTGGGAATCGTCAGAACTTGAACGCGTCGATTGATGTAATTGAACCACACGCACTTCCATCACGAATATGTCCGCGGCGTGGTTAAATTAATTGATGATAGCTCATATGTGAGCTATAGAAGTGGTACATGTATATGTACATACCATTATTAGTGTGGATATCTTGGACTGCTCTCCTCAAGATTCCTGGCCCCAAATTTCCCAGCCTGAGCGTTTCGTTTATAACCTGTTTAAAAATTTTCATTATGATTTTGTACAGAATAGACGATCAAATTAATCTACTAGCTAGGCGAGAGAAATTTCCTGACGCGATTCGAACACCTAACAGACGAAATAGACGCGAAACACCGAAAATTAATTACCTGAAGGGTGAAAGTCATGGACTTGTATTCATCCCACGAGATCCCCACACTACTGCTCTCTCTTGCCTTCAAAATCGCCTCATGCTCAGCCTTTCAACCGAAACGAAACAAAATGACTGATTGATACATAAAAAATAACGGTCCCAAAAGGTCCAAAAAAAAAAAGAGAGAGAGATAGGTAATTAATTACTTACCACTAGCTCTTCCAACACCAAAGGGTGATCTTCAATCAACTTGACCGCCAAGGTCATTATGTTGGCAATGGTGTCATGGCTCACAAAATTAAGTGCAAAGATGAAGTTGACTATGAAATCTTCTGTCAAAGACAAAGAGTATGGTTTCTCTCCATCGTTTAGCTCTCTGATTGCATGGTCAAGCAAATCATCTCCTTTAGATCGTTCCTTCGTCGAAAAAAATGAAGCCTGCCTCTTTCTGAATTCTTTCCTGATCAATTTCACTGCTTTCTCCTTCTCCTGTGTACGTATTTTTTATCGACGGAGTGATCGAAGGAAAGCGATTTGTTAGAGAATCGTATAAGATCGCGATAAGTAAACTTAATTAATTTTACCTTCAAACATTTGTAGTGAGTGGTGCCGGGAATCTTCAAGGGGATGGAGATTAGAGATTTTGTTATGGAAGAGTAGAGATCGACAAGCTTCTTCTTGGAATAATGTTGTGGATCGTAACCAAACACCAGCTTTGCCCCGTAATTAAGCACCATCTACAAGTATAATTAGTACGTTAGATATATATTACATGCATTAATAAAATCATTTATAATAAAAGGATACGATTTATCGCGTATACTTAGGGTAAATCTAGAAAGCACCGTGTGTAATTGATAAGAAGAACGTTATCTATATCTTGAATTAAGGGTACTCAATCTAAGTTTAATTAGATTTAATGAGTATTTGAGTAAAAATATTGTTGTGGTGCTGCCCCGTTGACTTGTGACCAAATCAGTTCTTCGTATAGCCTGAATCCGATCACCAAAATTCGGCCGTCAGAAATTAGAAATATTAATAAAAGATTGAAATTGAAATTCAATTGTATAAACAAAACCATATTGAAATATAGATCCTTTAGATCTATATTTTTTTATATCTATTCATCTATGTGGTTATCGTTGACTTAACCATGGTGATAATCACAAGGAGTTTGTTATTACAACATTTTATTTTGACATATAGCCCGAGTCATCGAAATTGACATTCTATTTCTTTATAATAAACGATAAAAGAAAAAACTTGCAATGAGTGAGCTTTAATTTATTGTAAGTTATAACACCATATGAGAAAAGAAAATTCACCTAGCAATTTTTTTTTACAATTAATTTCACGAAATTATGAACAACAATGGGACAGATCAGGACAGAGTATCTAGATACCCATACTCGTAGTATAATAGGGCGAGTTTAAATATGCGAAGAAGGAAGAAAAAAAAAAACATTAGAAATATTTATTTTCTTCATTACCGTGGCAGTGGCATACTTGACCTCCACGCTACCCCGCTCTGACCAATCCCGCAGCGCCACGTGCACCCGCCGCTCCATCTCCGGCAGCCGCCTTTCCCTGAGCTCCTGCACGCCGAAGCTCCTCAGCGTAGCGAACCTCACGTACTTGTGCACGGAGGCGAGGTTGATGTCCACGTCACCGAACAGCCCGGCCGACGTGTCGGTGTGCCACGTCTCGATCAGCGGTTGGTCGCGGTGGAGGAGGAAGTGGTTGAGCTCGGAGTCGGCCGACACCGCGATCTGCTTCCCGAAGAGATTCGTCGTGAATACCGGTCCGTACCGTCGGAGCCGGGACTTGAGGAACGGGATGAGGTCGAAGTCTGTTGAGGGGAGGAACAGGTGGAGGGTTTCTCCGATGATCGGGAAGCCGGAGGATCCCGGAGGGAGACGGCGGCGGCGGGATGTCGTTGGTCGTCGTCGGTAGGATATGGCGGCGAGAAGCAGCGGTGGGAGAAGTAGCCATGCAACTGTGACCAGCATCGTCACCATAGTTGGGAAGCTTTTTTTTTTTTTTTACCGTTCACCATTTGTGGAGCTCCTTTATATATAGTAATAGGCTTTGGTTATTTCGGTTATGGGTTAACCGCACCTTTTCCAGGCCCAAACCCATTTTGTACAGCTTCCGACAACCGACTGAATTTCGGTTATATCGGTTACCGGTTAGTGGATAACCGGACGATTATTGGTTAACCGACCGGTTAACCGGAAACTGGTAATCGAACCTCCACCCTTACCGTAGTCGTGGAAGTAAGCGGTTGAGATGCATACATGGTTATCTTCCACAATTTGTGTTATTGAGATTCGTTGGTTTATAGGTAATAATATGGTGTCAGAGCTCGTTTGATCCTGAGGTTACTTGTTCAAAGTCTTAAAGCATATAGTATGGCAGACATGTGCAAATTTCAAAGGTTATGAAGTTGGCTTTTTTTCCGAGGGGGTTATGCAAAGAAGTTGTTAAGATCTATACATGGACTTCTCCCAACAGCCAGCTAGCTCTAGTTATTATAGGACTAGTAGTTTAATTACAATATGTTATCGGTGGAGGGAGCGCTTCTTTGAACTTCAATCCCATGCGAGGTGACTTTCGTTCAAAGGGGCATATAAGATAATGGTTAAATCCATACATGAACGACTCTCCTAACAACTCGAATTATTAAATACCAATTGGTTTATGACATGATATCTATAATAATGTTACAATATTTTGGTATTTGAGTTCTTCCCACGTACACTAACCGCACATCCGTATTGCCAACTCAGAATTTCGTCACTCTCGTATTACAAAGAAATTTAACATCAGATTTTACACTTTGGCAAACCGAAAATTTTCCATTAAAATATGAAATTGCATGACATGTTGCGATCACGAACTTGATGTAACGATAATATTACTGATCTTGAACCTAAAGATCACGTCACAGCTTCGGAAAAAATTCAAATCCAAAACAAACTATAAATATACAAGTGTTAATGTGACCACGAAAAGACCGATCGATGGTTTTCAGAAATTTATTTGGCATTAATGTTAATAATGTGACCACGAAAGTACTGCCAAGTGCCAACCATCTTTTATTTCTTGCATTATTTATGTTGAATGGACCATGTGCAGCTTTTCCTTTGACTTTGCATCTCTTTGTCATTAACAATAACGTACAATGGCTTTTGACTTTTGAGCCATAATAATATAAATATATACTAACCTAATGGGAGATTTTCTCAATGCATTAGTGTCATACTAATCAAAACCACGAAAATAATAATATATATGGGTGTTTATTTTTAATCAACGTTAGTTAGTCTAACATGTTACAAAAAATAACATTTGAAGGTTTGTTATAGTCTAGTCATTCAGATCCAACTATCCAGCCCAAAAAATAGATCCGTCGCGCGCGCACATCGTGGATGATTCAGTACGACCATAACAAACATTGTTGAATATAGCGCGATCGAATTCATCCACCGATACACGCGCAACAGGTTTGTTAATTACAGAGTCTATATAAGTATTACCCAGACGAATTCCAAGAAAAACGAAATCTCCGAATTCGTCACAGTTTTCCTGCGCGCACGCACAACATTAACGATTCGAAGAAGAAAAAAAATGTGGATCAGTACTCTACCGCTACGATTCCTCGCAGTGATTTTCATTATCGCGATCGTCGGTACGTCCGCCGCCGCGGACGCCGACGACGACAACCATCATAACAAAAAAGTAGTTCTTCCGGCCAACGTGAGGGGCTTCTCATTCCCGTACCACTTCTGCAGCTCCGCCGCGATCGACCCGCGCAGCGACCTCGGCCGGGCTCGAGCCAACATCCTCACCGACGTCGTGAAGCTCCACTGGACGCCGAGGCACCGGCGGGAGCAGCTGACGTGCGTCAGGACGACGGTGGGGACGTCCACCGTGTGGGCCCGGGCCGAGTGCCACAACGACCCGTCGACGAGCTACTGCAACGAGTGCCTGGTGGCGGCGAAGATCTACCTGGAGACAAACTGCCGGTACTTCGCCGGCGGGAGGGTGAACGAGAAGGACATGACTTGTACGTTGCTGTTTGGTGATTACGACATTTGTGCTGCCTAATCGATTTTAGGGTTATGGATTAGGGGGGAGGAAATAATTTTATTTTCAAATCGTATCGGACGAGTTGGCAGTAGGGTGTTTTTTGTGTGTAAAAATCGTTTTGTAGCGGTGAGATTGTAAACCGCAATTTGGGATTCGCGGTAGGCGGGTTTTTTTTTGTCGGTCTGGTCATCGGTATGGTACGATTTGGTAGACGCTGGATTTTATATCGATTGTGATTGTATTTGATTAATGCATGGTGTTAGTGTCCTTTAGATGGGAATTTGATTGAGTGGTTTGTCTTTCGTAATATTAAGATAATTAATAAGAATTTATTGATAGACATGGTGCAAAGTGTTGGTAAATATGAGTAACATAATGTGGTTTTTGTTTATTTGAATTGAGAAGTTTGTTTAGGTTTTTTAAAAATTTCGAACTATATATACTCTCGTTTATATTGTGAGCCACGTCCCAATTAATATGCTCAAACAAAAAGAATTACATAAGTTTATCTTGGATTCCAGCAGTAGTGTAATCTGAATTTTATTTAATGTGGACGATTGTTAAAAATACATATCACAATTTTATTTTTGTTGATTCCATACAACGATGACATATTTTTGTATTCTTAAAACATTTTAAACTATATATATAAAATCAGGGCAAAGATGTTTCTCTTAATATACTCTACCAAATAATAATTCATAATTCAATCATTCCACCATTGGGAGGGTGTTATTCTCCTTGGATGATGGGTTCGTCATTGTCCTGTAAAACCACTAATATATTATGCCATTAATCATTAATGTACACTTTACAGTAGTACAATTGTTTTTTTTTTTGGTCTCAAAATGTAAAGTGTAATTGACAATCAAACGATAATTGGTTTCCACAAATGTTATTTGACTTACAGCCTAGTGTGTAATTTTTTTTTACTCAAAAAGCAAAATAACAATTCGTGTAATGTACATGTTTGTTCTTCACAAAGAGAGAGCCATAACCCTTTCGAGAAGGTAGATGCTAGTTGTTAGTTGCTACTAAAAGGGTAGCGTCGAGGGAAGAGCAAGCCACTATGTGATTCAAACATGCAATATCTAAGTTGAAAATTAGAGATGATACTGCTATATCAAATCATTATTCGCTCAGAGAATGGTTTTTATACTATATTATACACATAATAGATTTGAAATCGTATAAAATCCACAGTCATGCCATTTGTTATTTAATCCAAGTCTCACATCGTCAATACAAGAGAAATGACTCTTGTTGATAACTGTTCACCTATAATATGAGACATTTAGAAAAAAAAACCCAAAATAAATCCATACAGACTTGATCCAAAGAGAACAATAATGTACAATTGAAGCACCCATTTTCAACACCATTAGCACAAATAATAATAAAAAAATCACAGAAGGCGACACACATACCTCCATTTTTAGTAAATTACGTAAAGGATCTTGTTCATCTTTGCAGAGTCAACTGATCACAACATTGCTCTAAGATTAGTTTAGATTGATAAAATCGTGAATATTGTTTGGTCTTATCCGAATCACAGATCCATCGCATATTGTGGATGATTCAGTGGCCGCATCACCACGAACCCACTGTATCGTGATCGACTTCAACCACGATATGTGATGTTCACTGTAGTACTCTATATAATTAAAATGTAATGACACATTCCAACACTCTAAAAACTTTGAACTTTTTTCGTAGACTATATATGAACACATAGAAAAGGATACATTTCTACCTATCACAAACCCTTTCATACATTCACAACTATGAGTTTGCTTCAGCTTATTATCACACTCATCTTCATAGTTATTGGTACCTGCATTAGCGACAACAAAGCCATCGTCGGAGGGCAGAGGCTCACTTTCCCGTATCACTACTGCAGCGCCCTCCCGATTCGAGAAGGGAGCGAGCTAGGCAAGGCGAGAGCCAACATCCTCACGGATCTGGTCGTGCTCCACTGGACGCCTCGCCACCGGGGGGAGCAGTTGTCCTGTATCAGATCGACGGTGGGAAGATCGACGATGTGGGTGTTGAAATCAGCGCATTAAATCAAGTTGGAGATTGTCAATTTCTAACCGTTGCTATTGTGCAGCTCAATCTCTGGATTCACATAAGGAAACTATTGCCTTGATTGGGAACTTACCTTCTCTGTGTGCAACGGCTAGTCTCTTGATTGAGGAGTCTATATATACTCGAATGGTTGATAATGTTGGACTACTTTTGTAGGAGCTATTGTGGTAAAGGGCATAGCACTGGGTTTGCAAAAGGGTTGACACAAGTTGAGGCAAAGGTTCAACTGGTGTCAAGGCAGAAAGGCTTTTCTTTGTTCCTTTTGTTTACTTCTTCTTGCGTGTTCTGTGTTAATTTGTGCTTGCGATTTATTCTTCAATAAAAGGTCTCCCAGACCATATTCTGGGACGTGGAAGTACACCATTGCACTTGGGCGAACCACGTTAAAAAACGGACTGTGTCTTCTCCATTTCTGCTCTATTCTTGCACTCTGTTTTTACAGAACTCTGTTTTCCAGAACTCTGTTCTTCTCGACGTTGTGCAGCTGAGTTGCAGAGTTGAGACTCTGTCTCTTGGGTCGGGTTTCTATTCTGCTGTTTGGGTTTTAATTAAAGGAAGTGTTGGGCTGAAAGACTCTCAATAGTCTTACCGAGCCCAACTGATTCTGCTCATTTAACCCGGGCCGGTTTAAGACTTTGGCCCACTTTATATAACCTAAACCGAGAGACTCGATCATTCCAATCCATCCAAGTCGATCTCTTCCCCTTCTCTCTGATACTCGTTCTCTCTGAAACTCTCTCTCTCTTCGAACCCTAATTCCCAAATAGATCGAGTTCTTTCTCGATTACAATTGGTATCAGAGCCAGGTCCTTGACGAAGTTAACTACTGCCAGGGTTTCGATCCAAAATGGCTTCTGGTTCCTTCGGTCAT